AATGTCATCTCTCTGCTGCATAAGAGCTGTAGTTTGGGTGCTTCATGCTTCCATTCCCTTCAATACGCCAAGCTCCCTGGTCAGACAACATTTCCAGTGATGCGCCTCTCTTGTTAAGGAAAAAATATGCATCACAGGAATCCCTGGCTGTGTTGAATTCATGGTAATTCAACCATTTTTTAATAGAAAATCAAAATTTTTCAGGAAAGCAGACATTTTTGTTTATATTTAATTTACTCAAAACCACAATTTTCAGTTGAAAATCAGTTACAAAAGAATTTTTTCAACCAGACATAGTAACTACAGAACAATTGAAACATTTATTTCTATGAAGTATCACAAAGCATAATGGGAACAAGTCCAAGTACAAACTATTGGTTGGAAACTTATCAATAGTTACAGTAGCTCTGATATATTCTTGTAAAATAGCATCAAGTTACTCCAATTTACAAATGGAGGCCTCTAATTCAATGTGTGCTAAATAGGAGTTTGTATATCTTTTTATGTCTGCAATTACAAACTTGTAAAATTTCATAAACAACATTCAAGGCTTGTTGCAACTTTGGTCCTAAAGTTTGAGAGGGGGAAAAAAAGGATTTTTTTAAAAAAGTTAAATTTAGTATATAAGAAAATAAAGTACCCCACTTTGTGTTTTTACACATAATTTAGGCAGGAATACCTTTTCTCATACGATGCTATTTAGTATCCTAGTATATTATAAAGATATAACAGTAGATTAAAAAACAGCATAAGAAAAAAAACCTCTATTCATTTTCAGTGTCTATGTAATTAGTCATTAGCTATCTTGATGAAAGGCTAAGAAAAAAATCAAGTAGAAAACCAGAACCAATTTCTCCATTGTTAAATACGTTGTACATGTAAAAGACAATTTTCCCAGCAGTACTATCATGGAGTGGCATTTAACTATAAGCTGAAGTTGTTGAAGTTAAAAGTTGCATCAGCTGTTATTACTGTGGTCAAAACTCAGATAGTAATGGTGCCTTTTTTTCCCCTCAACATGAGAAAAGTTTAACAGAAACATGCATTAACTGTAGGCATGTGTTTCCTCTGTTTTAGTATTACAGTGTAGTACTTGCTGTACCTCATTATTAAGGATAAGATTTTGTCACGATAGTCACGGTGCTTGGGCTCTCATCCCCCCACGCTGGGGCTCAGGCTTCAGTCATTCCCCCATAAACCCCTGCCCCATTATTTTTAGAAAAATTCAAAGACAGACTGTGGGCTTACATAAATGTTTATTGCCCACAATCTGTCCATTAGTTTCACTAAAAATAACCATGACAAAATCTTAACCTTACTCAGGTTTCAGAGTAGCAGCCGTCTTAGTCTGCATTCTAAAAAAGAAAAGGAGTACTTGTGGCACCTTAGAGACTAACCAATTTATTTGAACATAAGCTTTCGTGAGCTACAGCTCACTTCATCGGATGCATTCAGTGGAAAATACAGTGAGGAGATTTATATACACACAGAACATGAATCAATGGGTGTTATCATTATTCATGCATATTTATCTTTAAAATAAATGCAGACCTGGCATGTATATTAATGAGCCATTTTTAAAACATAGGCAATTTAACAAGACAAATTTTTAACTGAATGTTCAAATTAGACCATATGGGAATGTCTACACAGCAAAAAACAAAAACAAAACAAAACAAAACCCTGGCTGGCCAGTGCCAGCCAGCTCAGTCTGTGGGGTTATTTAATTGCTGTCTTGAATTCTGGGCTCAATCTGGAGCCCGAGCTTTGGGGCCCTCCCACCCCGCAGGGTCCTAGAGCCTGGGCTCCAGCCCTAGCACAGAAGTCTACACAGCAATGAAACAGCTCTACAGCCCGAGTCCCACAAGCCTGAGTCAGCTAGCATGGGCCAGCCACCGGTGTCTAGCCACAAGTGTCACATGACATGTGGCTTTTATTACAAATGCAGAACAAAAAGGATGATGCAGACTGCTGCCATTTTGTGAAAAACAAAATCAGTCCTCCGACCTCACAAATATATCCACCACTGCCAATTGTGATGTCTTTCTATGGCTATGACATCAGATGGACAACAAAGAGTAAGAGCCGATTAACTTGGGGGGAAAAAATACCCAAGAAAGATCCAGTTTTCACCAAAAGGCTGATAGTAATGAAAAATACTGAAAGAAAACTTACAGCGAACCATATAACACAGATATAGAATTATCTCTTAATAGAGAAGGGCTTTGTTGAAGTTTTCTAGAAGGCATCAGTGGATCAATAAAAACTTGAATTAATCCTCAAAACACTGTGAAATGTGGACTTCAGGCTTCCATTCATCTTGAACTCCTAGTGTTGTACCATGTAATACAGGAATATGACAGTACTGTGTGATACTAATACAGCACTATCTGTGCTGAAAATTCAACACCTAAGCTCAAGAGGGATGGTCTGAAATAAAGTGCGATTGTTAGCTTTCTTTTTTCTTTGGTGGGAGAGGGGCTCACATCTACTGACCCCACTATCATAACAGTGCTAAATACTGCACAGTAACAGTTAAAATAACCCCCTTGTGGAAACATTAGTACACTCCGAAGTCCTTGAGAAGTTAGTTACCTTCTTGAAAGACTCTACATTAATCAAAAACATTAAGTTAATTTTTTACTGTAAAAAGGATATTAGGTAATAGAGAGCATAATATAATTAAGGAACTATTCTACTGAAATCAGGCACCTGTAGCAAACTGAATATAACTTGGAGAGAGGACTACAGGTTGCAGAAGAGAAGAATTTGGAGGAGACAGCAGGAAGTCAGTCTGTTTCCACATGGTAGAATGATAGCTAATGTTTCAGCACCTCCACAATTAGTTCTCTTAATAAAAAGAGTTTCATTTTAGAAACATGGGGTTCTCTCATGTTATTGCCTAGCACATGGGCCATGAAATAGCACCGATCATGGGGTGGTCCAAAATAAGAGATAACATGTTGGTCTCCGGATCCTTCAATGAGTATATAACACTGCTTCTCCTTGATATATATATATATATATATATATATAGTTGTGATTCATAACTTAGCATGATGGATGGAAGAAAGAATGGCTGATAGTGGCCCTGAAGAACAAATTGAACTTTCTAGTCCTAATGCCTATGAGAATGGCTACTTTCACGTGTACAACCCTGAGGAATGAAGCATGAATTAGTTTAACTGACAACCAGTTTGCCTAACTGTTCTGTTTCCCTTTCTGCTAGGTTGATGGTTTTTTTAGTTTATCTTTTCCCCAGAACAAATTGTGGTAAGGGTGACAAATGGTTTAAATACAGGAGGATTATCTTAATGATACTGCTAAAATACTACCAAATCATAGTTTCAGCCTCCCTTACCAAATAAAAGGAATAAGCTATGTTTAGCCTACATTAAAATCCATGACATGAAAATATGGTCAGGAAAGCATCAACAGTAAGCAGTGTGTCCCCAAACAAGCCCCAATCAAAATGTAGCCACTGCCCCAAAAGATGGTAATACTATATGACTATTGTCATGTGTGATACCGAAATATGCTGTGTTTCCCATCAGCACATCTTATGGTGCTATTTCCTATTCCTCTCTCCGAAAGCATACCTTCAAACACTTTCCAGAGCCCTGAGGATTCTGAACCTGTTTTTCCATTTACTACTCAAAGCTTAGGTCAAGTCAATCCACTTCTGAGCTAAGAAAACCTTATTACAGCTCTTGCAGGAACCCATAAACACTGCTCCTAAGTCAGCCAGCAGGGCCATTAAATATCAAAGTATTTTCTTCTATGTAAGTTTGAGAGGGCTGCCTCTCCACAATACGCTCAGCACTTGCTCCTCTAGGGAAAAAAATTAAAATGCTACCTTTTTTGTAAAATGATTTATTAAATGTGGAGGTTAGAACCTTTGCCACTGGTGTATACGCTGTGGGCCAGATCCTCCCCGGTGTAGACTGGCATAGCTCCACTGGCTTCACTGATTTACATGAGCTGAGGATACATACAGTTTCAGAAGACATGGGCCAAAATTTTCATAAGTGACTAGAGATTTTAGGTGCCCAGCTTGAACTACCTTAAAAAGTCCAGATTTTCATAGGGTGGTGCTCAGTCCCTTCTGAAAATTAGGCACCATTAAGGTAGTTCAAGTTGGGCACCCCCAAAATTGAGACCCCCAAAATCACTAGCCACTTTTGAAAAATCTTTAAACTTAGACCCTACATGAAATCAACCTATTTATGTTGATAAACACTGTGATTATGCATATCACTTAACTCTGTGTGATCCACCATGCAGTCTGAATCTATTTCCTGGGTGGAGAATGGGAGTAAAAAACATCAGAATAGTTCACAGATGTACTTTTTTTGCCCTGGAAAGGATATCCCCTGCAAATCATTGTCATTACTGAAGAAATTGTGGCTTTATCCTCCAAGTAAATACTCCTTTAGTCTAAAGTTTCATGCTGGATCTGAGCTGATTCTTGAACTTGGTAGAAAAGAAAATCCATGCCACAGACTAGTTTGTGAGGTATTGATCTCTAAGTGAGAGGAGAGGGGTTCAGCAATTAAAGTTCTGCGAGACCAGGGCTGTCCTTAGGCATACGCAGCTGCATAGGGCACCAGAAAATTTGGGGCACCACCAGGACCAGGGACGGCCTTTTTGGGGTGGGTGGCCGGGGCGGGTACACAGGGCAGCCCGCCAAAGAGGGTGCCGTGTGCTGGCCCGCCCGATGCTCCATGCACGCTGCAGCCAAGCGGCCGCAGCGCTGGTTCCTCTCTGGCCAATCCCCTCCCCCCGGCTGCTCTTGACCAGCGGGTCCAGGGCTGCCTTCTCCCTCCCTCCCTCCTTTCCCCTGCCCACTTGCTCCTCTCGGCCAGCCGGCCGCCAGCTGAGGGCTCCTGCCAGTGATGGGGGCGGAGAGGAGCTCTCAGCCTCTGAGGCTTTGCTCCGCCCCCACCTCGTCCCGCCAGAGGCTGGTACCACTTGCTGGTGTGAGCGGGGGGAGGCTCGGCGGCAGGCCCGGGGGTTTCTGGTTACTGCGCTGCCATGCACTGCGGGCAGCTGGGCTCCCCTGTGGCATGGCCCCTGCCTCCTCCCTGCACTCTCGGGCCACTGCCAGACCTGGGGCAGCACTGGTGGGAGGGTGATGTGCGTGCAGCTCCCGCACCCCATCCCGTGCGCCTGCTCCAGCCCCACCACTATTCGAATGTGGAAGCCGGGGAGCATGGGGTTCCCGGACCATGCAGGAGGCAGCACCAGCATCCAGTGGAAGGACACCTCAACCAGGGGGTGCTCCTTGTTCCAGGTAAGCCCCCTTGGCCCAGGCCCCATGGAGCAACTGGAGACCCAGTTCCCCTTTCCCCATCCCCCCACCAGCACCCCTGGGGGAGACTCAGTTCCCCCTACCCCATCCCCCCCACCAGCGGGGCGGCTCAGTATCCTTTGCTGCCTCATCCATCCCTCCACCCCCGGCCCTCAAGGCTGTGAGCCCGGGTTGCCGCAGCATCTGCTCCATACGAAGCTCAGTGTGGGTCAGCAATGGTGGGGGGAGGGGCATAGTCCATCAGCATTATAGTGGGCTTAATTTGTTTAAACTGGTTTTAATAAAGTGCATATGGTAAGTTTTCCAATACTGTAAGCCTACGTTTGGGTTGCTAAGAGCAAGTCGGGCATAGGGGCACCAGTTGAATAATACTGAGTAGGGCCCCATAAATCCTAAGGATGTGTGAGACTACCAATACATGTAAATATAAAAAAGTATTCCGTTTCTTATGTGTGCTTCAGCAGATTCCTTCAAGGTTAGTGTATTGCCTGGCAGTCCACTTGATTATTTTTCTATGTATACATCATCAGTTTGGCATCTAGTGCCTTCAGGTCTAAAGAAGAGATGGAGTGTGAATAAACTAACTTTTGCTTACATGTGAAGCATAAATAAGTGAGTGTGTGAGAAAACAATGCTTCTGTTTCACTGAAAATATACCATAATATATTCCCTCTTCTTCAAGATTGTTTGGACCATAATGGAATGCTGGAAAATATATACAAATATTTTACACCTCCGCACACCCCTATTGAAAAACTGCTAAGCAAGCTTTGAGATTTTCCTGTAGTAATTATTGCCACCTATGTCTGGCCAAATAAATTTGTCATAAAAAGAGGTAAAACAAACAGTTTTGTAAATAAACCTAGCTCATTGATGGGAGCTGTAGTGAAAAATGCACATTACTAAAATGGAGCTAACAATTCAAAGTCCATCCATTCAGGATACACAGCCTCTCTAGGATGGAGACCTACCTTTCTTTCTTTCTTTCTTTCTTTCTTTCTTTCTTTCTTCATCCATAAATGTCAATGGTACTGAGTTTTTATCTAGAGCCATTCATTAGCAAAATATCCAAGATCTAAAACATTAACAAATATTAAGCCTCTGCAACACTGCTTTATAAAGTGAAGTATTACACCCATTTTAGTAAATGAGTAAACTGAGACATATGTTAAGAGACCCGTCTAAGCTCAGACAAATTTGAGTGGCAAAACTGGGAAAAGAACATACAAAGTCCTGATTTCCAGGCTCCAAGTTGAGTAGCATGGTTGTAATTAAGGCTATAAGGAGACTCACTCAGTTTTTCACTAAAATGTATTTTAAAATCCCCTTTTCACATTGTTTGGACTCATGAGGAAATCCATGTAATGTAGTAAGTAGAGATTAAATCAAATAACCCATTTTGAATAAGGTGCACCATATGTTGTGATAGACATATATAGGATCCAGTGCACTAAATGACCTAACAACCACTATGTAGGGAAAGCCAGAAAATTACTATGCTCTCAAATGAACTCAAACCAGAAAATGATAACACAAAAACACCATATCACACGTGGGCGAAAGCTTTTCACAAAACAATCACTCCATATCTGACCTCTCAGTCCTCAGTCAAAAGAAACCTGCTCAACACCTTCAGAAGATAAGCATGCGAGCTTAAATGCGAAGACAAGCATGCGAGCTTAAAGCAGGAGTTGGAAGTCGGGCCAAGTCAGGTACCAGAAGGTCAGAGTCCAAGACACGCCAGTGGGCAGACTGAGAATCAGGTGTGAGGAGACAGGAAGTGTCAGGTTACCAAGAGATTGGGATCAAGCGCCAGGTTACAGACAGCAATTGAATAGCAATGTTGAGGAAAAAGCAGGGTTAGAAGCTGGAGTCTAGGGTCTATCGCAAGCAGGATCTGGAGCAGAGATGGACAGGCAGTCTGTGCTGTTGCTCAGACTGCTCCCCTTTGTGGCTTCCTTGTTTAAGTATTGGTACTAGCCAATCAGTGGGCTGTAAGGACCTGCCACTCAGGTCCTGCTGACCAGTACTTCCTGCCAAGCCCAGTCTCAAAGGATCATCCCGTGGGAGCCCAGCCTAAATCTCCCATGATGATGCACTGATGTCAGAAGCTCAGAATCCCTATGGTTCCAGCCCTGCAGGTTTTTACAGTGGCTTATTACATCATCTATAATCCCCTAGCAACCCCACTTCCAAGCTGCCTTTTTTTTTTCTTCTCCCTTCCTTCCAGCCCCATGACTAGAGGGGTGTTAACAGGCCACTTAACCTGGAATGATCCCCTGAAATGTGTGTTAACTACTTATGTTAAAAAATCTGTTCCAACTTGTACTACTCCGCATGTCACAGATAACTACATCTCCCAGACTTGAAGAAGAGCTCTGTGTAAACTCGAAAACTTGTCTCTCTCACCAACAGAAGTGAGAGACAAGACAATCCTACATGCAGTTGACATATTAAATTGTTCCCCTTGTGCTTCACAAATCTTGATTCAGCACCCCTTATTAATCTAAAACTAGGGTACATAGCCGGGGACACAAAAGGTATAGCCATGAAGTATCTTTTCTGCAGTTACAGTTTCATGCAACTTAGACTTTTTCTGAGTCACTCCATAAATCAAGTGGATGTGGACAGTTACTGAGGACCCATCTACCTAATATGTTCAACTCTAAAGATTAGAAGATAAATACTTGTGCTCTCAGTTTCTGCAAACAGTCGAGAAATACATTAATGGTCTTATGAAATTCCCATTGCAATCAATAGGATTCTTTCTATTGACTTTAGAAAGAATCATAGAATCATAGAAGATTAGGGTTGAAAGAGACCTCAAGAGGTCATCTAGTCCAACCCCACTGCTCAAAGCAGGACCAACCCCAACTAAATCATTCCAGCCAGGACTTTGTCAAGCCGGGCCTTAAAAACCTCTAAGGACGGAGATTCGACCACCTCCCTAGGTAAAGCATTCCAGTGCTTCACCACCCTCCTAATGAAATAGTTTTTCCTAATATCCAAACTAAACCTCCCCAACTGCAACTTGAGACCATTGCTCCTTGTTCTGTCATCTGCCACCACTGAGAACAACCTAGCTCCATCCTCTTTGGAACCCCCCTTCAGATAGTTGAAGGCTGCTATCAAATCCCCCCCTCACTCTTCTCTTCTTCAGACTAAATAGGCCCAGTTCCCGTAGCCTCTCCTCATAAATCATGTGCCCCAGCCCCCTAATCATTTTCATTGCCCTCCGCTGGACTCTACAATTTGTCCACATCCTCTGTAGTGGGGGGCCCAAAACTGGATGCAATACTCCAGATGTGACCTCACGAGTGCCGAATAGAGGGAAATAATCACTTCCCTCGATCCGCTGGCAATACTCCTACTAATGCAGCCCAATATGCCGTTAGCCTTCTTGGCAACAAGGGCACACTGTCGACTCATATCTAGCTTCTCATCCACTGTAACCCCCAGATCCTTTTCCTGGGGAACTGCCACTTAGCCAGTTGGTCCCTAGCCTGTAGCAGTGCATGGGATTCTTCCATCCTATGTGCAGGTGTCTGCTCTTGTCCTTGTTGAACCTCATCAGATTTCTTTTTCCAATCCTCCAATTTGTCTAGGTCACTCTGGACCCTATCTCTACCCTCCAGCGTATCTACCTCTCCCCACAACTTAGTGTCATCCACGAACTTGCTGAGGGTGCAACCCATCCCATCATCCAGATCATTAATGAAGATGTTGAACAAAACTGGCCCCAGGACCAATGCCTGGGGCACTCCGCTTGATACTGGCTGCCAACTAGATATCAAGTTGTTGATCACTACCTGTTGAGCCCAACGATCTAGCCAGCTTTCTATCCACTTTATAGTTCATTCATCCAATCCATACTTTTTTAACTTGCTGGCAAGAATACTGTGGGAGACCATATCAAAAGCTTTGCTAAAGTCAAGATATATCATGACCACTGCTTTCCCCAGATTCACAGAGCCAGTTATCTCATCATTGAAGGCAATCAGGTTAGTCAGACATGACTTGCCCTTGGTGAATCCATGTTGACTGTTCCTGATCACCTTCCTCTCCTCCAAGTGCTTCAAAATGGATTTCTTGAGGACTTGCTCCATGATTTTTCCAGGGACTGAGGTGAGGCTGACCAGAGTGTAGTTCCCCAGATTCTCCTTCTTCCCTTTTTTAAAGATGGGCAATGTATTTGCCTTTTTCCAATCACCCGGGACCTCCTAACTACTAACTGTAGTCTGTAACCTATCATTTAAATCAGATTCTGCACCAGATGACTGGAGGATAGCTAATGTGACGCCAATTTTTAAAAAGTGCTCCAGAGGTGATCCTGGCAATTACAGGCCTGTAAACCTGACTTCAGTACCGGGCAAAGTGGTTGAAACTATAATAAAGAACAATATTGTCAGACATAGAGATGAACATAATTTGTTGAGGAAGAGTCAACATGGTTTTAGTAAAGGGAAATCATGGCTCACCAATCTACTAGAATTCTTTGAGGGGATCAACAAGCATGTGGACCAAGGGGATCCAGTGGATAGAGTGTACTTAGATTTTCAGAAAGCCTTTGACAAGGTCCCTCAACAAAGGGTCTTAAGCAAAGTAAGCTGCCACAGGATAAGAGGGAAGGTGCTTTCATGGATTGGTAACTGGTTAAAAGATAGGAAACAAAGGGTAGGTATAAATGATCAGTTTTTGGAATGGAGAGGAGTAAATAGTGGTGTCCTCCAGGGGTCGATTCTGGGCCCAGTCCTATTCAACATATTCATAAATTATCTGAAAAAATGGGTAAGATGGCAAAATTAGCAGATGATACAAAATTACTAAAGATAGTTAAGACCCAGCCAGACTGCGAAGAGCTACAAAAGAGTCTCTCAAAACTGGGTGACTGGCTAACAAAATGGCAGATGAAATGTAATGTTGATAAATGCAAAGTAATGCACATTGGAAAGCAAGATCCCAACTATACATATAAAATGATG